ACTAAATTCTCTTTTTACTCCTATGACCCATTTCAGTAATTCACTACAAAGCATCAGTTAAGTTGGCTGTCTTCCCTGAAAGTATAGGCTTTACGTTACCAAAGATCTATGAAATGTACTCTGATCCTATCTGAAACAATTGCATGAAATGCTCTCAATATTTAACCTCATCCACTATATGAAACAGCCACAAGAGGCCATGGGAAGAGAGGGGAACCAAAGAACGGAAGGACAGGTAAAGCAATGAAGCGGGAGTCCACCATGACTAGCTCCCAAGTTAAATGCCACAAAAAAAAAAATTGTTGCATAGTTATTTTCCACAAGTTCTGATGCTGATTTATTGTACTTTTCCACACAAGGGCAAAAGTCTAGAAATCCCCTATTTTCCCTTCCTGTAGGATCCCACCACCCAGGAAAGGTAAAAGCAGAGAACAGCCAGGAGTGCTCTACAGACAGCTCATGAAGTCTCATGATCTTTTCTCTCTCCTTTCCTCTCACAGTTGTGTGTTTGGGAAATAGCTGTTGAGATGGGCTAACTGCAGTATTTCTAAGTATCTCCATAGCATCAACATGCCTTGGTTTTCAGTGTTCAAGGGTGTATTGCCTTTAAGCTTACCTTTACAAAGAGAAACCTCCTCCTTCCCCCTCTTCCTGGTCTCTGCCAACTGGGAAGAATGGTTGCTGTCTGACAACGTTTTCCCTCAGGCTTCTCTACCTCTGTCTTTAATGAGGCCTTAGTGACAGCCACAGCCTAATATTAAGGGGGTGGCAGGACAGAGACAGACAGCACCAAAAAAAAAAAAAAACCAAACCCACCCAAACCAACCCATCCACAACACACGTGTTTTATCCCAACTTGCTGCTTACAGCTTGAACTGGGCAGTTTCCTTTTTAACTACAGCAAGATGTCAGAGGAGTTCAGAATAAGAATCCCCCCGTCACCCTTTTTGGGGGCATGGGGATGGAGAGGGGACAGGGGGGCATCATGCACCTTCATCTCTCCTATTACATCTTTTAGGATGGTGGTTTGGTCTTTTTGTTTTCTTTCTCCTCTTTGAACCAGATTTGCAGAAGTTGCTGCCAAATTAGAATTAGAGCTATCGGTAACTTTAATCTAGCGCCTCGAAAATATTGGATGCTTCCCCTCCATTTAGTTCTCCTGTTAATGGTTCAAGATTTCATGACTCTCCAGACGCACACAGCAAAGGAAGAGACCCAAGACCTGTTGCTCCTCCACCCCCAAGGAGCTTTATGTCAGACCAATACACACACATTTCACTGCCAGGAGACAAGGACATAGTAGTCCTCTAAAGGCATCTTCTCCCCGAGTCCACTGAAGCAGTTATCCCTTGAGCTATTCACAGTCACCGGCAGCAGAGTGATGAAATTTGTTTCCTATCCGCTGTATAGAAGTGTGCATTAACGTTCTGTTAAAATACGTGTGACTGTGCAGCTTCTGCTGTTGTGCTGAGGGCACTGGGGTGGGGTGGCTACTGCTACTCTTGGGACAACCAACTACACTCACCTGAGAAAAAGCTATTAAAAACACAATACACTGGGACAGATACAGCAAGTTGAGAGCACACAGCTGTGAAATTCCTGCAAGATCACAGAAAGATCACATGCTATAGAGGTTTTCCAGTTCAACTATCAAGAGACCAGGAAAGTAAAGCAAGGGGAAGAGACATGAAAAGCTCTGAGAAGGCCCAACTACTAGTGAGATTTCCCCACCCCTTCCAAACTTTTTATTGTAATCCACCTCAGCAAAATTTTTAATTTTTTCCCCATATTGCTTTAGCTATAGAAAAGCATTTTGACTTGGGGGAGGCACATCCACATTCAAAACAAGGCACTATCCCTGGTCAGGCAGATAGTTAGTAAGCCCTCTGCAGAGGTACAGGCTTCTCAGATGACAGAACTGGTTATTATTCATTCGAAGGCAGGTTGCTGAGAACAGGTGGAACAGGGCCCAGAAACTCCACAGATGACAGACGTATCCCCAGCAGTGGTCAGAAAAGAGGGCACAAATGATGTAGGTACTTGGAATTTCATCTAGTCCTAGGTGTCCCTGCCCATGGCAGGGAGGTTGGAACTCGATGATCTTTAAGGTCCTTTCCAACCTAAACCATTCTATGATTCTATGATTCATCAGTCCCTGCCCTTAAGCACCCACCTTCTCAGCAGAGGAGAGCTCAGGAAGGGAAAGGAGACAGGAGGAAAAAAAAAAACACCACAACAAACAAAGAAATCCCCAAAAACCACCACACATACAATTGTGGGGGAAGAAGGAAGAACCTAGGCAATGAAGTTACGTCAGCAGTCTGCATAGGAAAACTTCAATATCTGATCATTTGGCAATGGGCACAGGGATTTTACACGTACTTGGAGTTAATTCTTGTCCCTCTTCCTACAAAATAGGAAGAAGCACTACAACTTATTAATTCACATCAGATGTAATACTATTTAAATGTTTCCTACACAAAAGATTTCTACAAAAGCAAACAAAAAGAAATCACTGCACAAGTTCAGTAGCAGCTATCAGTGCTTGGATGGCACACTTTTCCATGAATGATTTTTTTGCTGCTCTTGTTAATTTAGGACATGGAACTCATCTAAAACAGTAACTGATGGCTGGTGTTCTCTAAAAGCAGTTAAACTTACCATGTTAAAAAAAGCCTCTATTTTCAAAAATAGGACTTCTTATTGTACCTTTTATTATACCTTACAAAGATATACAAAACAGTTCAGTACCAGGACGACTACATATTCTCCTGAGGGCTACATCATCCTCACACACCTATGATTGATTTTAGTAAGTCTTTCCTTTAATCCAAGTTCCTGAAAAAGGAGGAATCCCTAAGATCTTGCCCCACCCCCTCCACTTGTCCCCAGCTACTCATAGACACTACATTCCTGTTTGTAGCAAAGTAGTGCAGTCATGCAAACTGTGACTCTTCAGTTTATTCTTATAATTTACTATCTTTACCTTTTAAGGCAGACTGCTCTTCTAATACACTAAAAGCTGCCCTTGGTAGGAAAAAATGTGTCACCCAAAAGGGTTTCATTCCCTTTTCAGGACAATTATATCCTTGGTCTGGGCTGAAAGTGACAGCCAGTGCAACAAAAATCAATTGTCACCACAGGTACTTGGTTTTTTCCTTCCTTTTTAAACAGGCCACCAACAACTTATTTTCCCACTGAAACAGTTATACAATGGCTATATATCAAATTTGAAAACTTCTCAAAATTTCAAAGTCGATGAAAGCCAGATTCTAGAGGGAGACAACATGGGTAAAAAAAAATATCAATACACATGATATTTTAATACAAAATATTAACTTTTTTCTTTTTTGTTTTTACACAAGTCAGGTTTTTTTAAAATATAGAACCTTAAAAAAAGAACAAATTGCTATCCACATACTATAAACACTTTTTTGTGCTGTTTGATCAAGTTATCAGAACAATTTAAACACCAGTCCATAGTTTAAACACTGCCTTGAAGTTTTATGAAAACTATGCCGCACTGTGCACTACCATTATTATATGTACAGTGTGAAGCGCCTTCTTTCCGTTTTAATATGGTAGTAGAAACTGTTCAGTTATCCGGTTTTGTGCAAAGATTTCACATTCTACTCACGCTCTTGACAGATTTGCATTACATTTCAGTGGCACTGGTATGAGCAACCACATGGAATTCTGTGAATGTTCACTGGAAAAATGTCCATTACATGTACTGAAATACATATTCTGGAAGTACAAATTCTTCAGCTAGATAAAAGAAAAACTTGTTATTGTTAGTTGAGGGGAAATACTAGCCTGATTAGCCGGAATTTAACAATTTCTAAGCACTGAAATGAATTTTGATTTCTCAAAGTTGAATAAAAGTAACTATCACATTTTCATAGAGATGAACTATATAGCAGGTACATCTCAGGAATATTTGTAATCGCCCACTTTTTGAACCCACAGAAAGAAAAAATTGCCCTCTAAGTTGGAGGTCTTAAAAGGTCTTGTTTTAGTAGTAAATCATCCACAAGTTGCAGGCTGTTAGCCAAGTAGATTTTAGGATGATTTACTTGCATTACAGTAATTTACACAATTGAACTTTATGCATACAGTACAAAACTATGAACAAAAAGGTGAAGCAAACTTTTTTATTTATATTCAGGTAAAAACATTAACCTGATGAAGTAAATTATTGCAGATTTGAGAAATCAGCACATAAAACAGTTGGACAGAGCATTGCTTACAGGTGCTTTATCTGTGTCAAAAGACAAAGGCTGAACTGTTTGTTCCAAGCTAGCGCTGGGAGAAGGAGGCGGGTGGGAAGAAAAAAAAAAAAAAAAAAAAAAGACTACAAAAGTAACCAGGAACTTAGATCAAGAACAAGAAAACTGTTTACTCAAACAGGGAATGAAACAACTAATTTGTCTTTTAAAAAACTTTACATCAATTCGAAATGCTCTGGCCTTACCACAATACACACTGGCCAGCCCAAGCTGTTGGACTTCAACTACATGAAAAAAGAATTCTTCCCAGCCTCTAGTAAGAGGCTTTTGCTGCCTGAATCACTGTGTAAACAGCTCTAGAGCGTAGACTGGTAAAGGCTGTTGCCATTATATCCTACCACTACAGTAAAACTATGCTATAAGAAAGGTTCTACCTAGTTACAAAGGCTGAATTATATTGACAATATATATTTGATTTCAGTAAAATTTAAATTATCTTAATCAGAGAAAGAGGCATGGAGCAGTTAAATGCCCATGCTAACCAAAACATAACAATTGTTGAATGTTGCACACAAAAAGAACCAAGTGAATTGCACATCAGACAATACATGAGGATGGGTAAAATTAGAGGCAGGTGAGGGTACACAGAACTAGTCTACTAAACTAGATTCGTCAAATACATGGTGTATTTTAATTTCTGTACTTATGTACAAAAGTTGTCTTTGGAGGAAAAACTTCAGACTTAGCTAGATGGATACACACAGCCCAGTATTAAACTGCACAGCGACATTTATTGTTCCAGCCTGGAAAAACATCCCTTTTTAAATTTCACACAGCAAAGCAAGTTAAAAACTTCACTCATCAAATAAATGATAATTTAAACAAGAACTTGCTAAAGAAACCTTGTCACAACAACTTTTAGGGCCTGATCACTTTAAGTCCATAGGGGCCTTTAATGAATATCAACCAAGTGTCTTTGTTTATAATCTGCAAGCCGTTTTTCTACAACAAGAAGGCGTAACACGTTTCCTTGACTCAGGTGATATATTTAGAAAAGAATCATGAGTTTCTCTTTTGCTGTAACAGGCAGACATTGCATTTTTCATTGTGATCAGGAAAGATGGAATGACTGCTGCCCTTCTCTTGCAGCTATCAAGAGTTTTTCACGCATTATCTCAATAGTTGAATAGTCCGGCAATTTGAGATAGTTCACACAAGTCATTACTGAGGGCAAGAAATCATCCGGATTCTCTGTGGACTCAAATGTCTTGCGTACAATTGTCAATGGAGGATTCAAACTTCGAAAGCCTATTAATGAAAAAAGACATTCAGAATAAGGTTTCTCCATTCGAAAACCCACAGTTAACGCTATAGACATCTAACAGTGGCAGAAGCATGCATCTCATAACTGACTTAATCTCTGGTTTTAAAAGTTTAGAATATGGCTTTATAAGGCCAAGTTGCAAGCTAAAACACACTTAAAATCCTTTCTGTAGATTAGTTTTCCAAGATGAATTGAAAAAATAAGTTAGATGCATCTACTGTTAGTTCTGTGTTCTGTATGTGTAAAAAACCTATTCCAATCACAGTATTTTTAAGAGTTTGTGGGTTTCATACACATTTTCTAAGATTCTCAGAAATTACCTATGACTGTTGCACCTTATTTTTTCACTCCAGCTAAGGTTTTTATACTCCTAATCATCAACCCTGTCTGCACCATCTCTCCCCCAAAAGAGCTCAAAAATCTCTTTTTTTTTTTTTTAAAAAAAGAATCAACTCTTTCTTATAATGTCAATTCTTTAACTAGAAAAAAAAAAATCCCAAACCACATAAGTAATGGAACAGATGCATAAATTCTGTTTTTACTTGCAAAGCGTTCAGCTGAGAATACGGTAAAATGGGTATTCTATTATGGTCCCTAGCAAAGACAGCAAATTTCTCAAGTTTTTCTCACTGCCTCTCATCTAAATTCTGAAATTCAAAAGGGGGAGAAATGAAAAGTTCATCACTATGCTAGTACTGTCTCCTTTCTAGACAAAACAATTATTTTTTCCAGCTAGCAACGCATCATTTTCTTGTTGTTATAACTTCACGCACATCTAGCCAAACAATACAGTATTAAGGGGTTTCAGTTTTGTTTAAATTTTGAACTCTTTTTTGCCCTCCGGTAGATTATCTGGTAACATAAATAACACCTGGAGAGAGTCAACTGAATGAAGTGCCATGAGATTAATACAAAGTTTGAGAATTCTACCTGAAGTCACTACCCAGCCACTTCTGAGACTAGAAGCGTCAAACAAGTATGAACCTCTAAAATACACAGGTAAGTAAATTTTTCCTATTGTGAAATTATCCACTTGTTCTGAAATGTGTTAATAATACTGATTTTATATACAGCAATATGTAATAAACAAAACCTACCTCCTACAGGTAGTCTGGGGCTACCCGTCACAAACTGAAGAAACAGTCTCTGCTGCTCACTATCAAAGCTACTGAGAATTTCAAAGAGATACTTCACTGCTCGACTACGGAGGGGGGAAAAAAAGCAAGCTATTATTATTTTGTTTACAGTAAAATAATAGCATCAGATTCATATTCAGTGCAGTATGAATATTTTGGATAAATTTCATATAAATCTTTTAGCTTGAATATCAGCATATCAAGATTATCTAAATACATATTTTCCAGGACTTTGTTTGTTGTGTTTTTGTTTTAAACAAAACCAAAACCATATTACCTGTCATGTGTATAACCGTGATCTGGCCTGCAACATTCCATTAAAGTCTTTGCATCCCAAGTGTCCGTTTTGCTGCCACACAAGAGCTGCTCCAACTATAAAATTAAGAAGCAAGGAAGTAAGTTTTTCCCTTTAGTACTTGAGGTCAAACAAGTACTGTGTTCTGACTACTATTACAGCATTCTACTTTCTGGAATGGCTTGCTGCAAAAACAACCTCAGTCACACCAAGCAGTCCCCCCAAGTTTTTTTGAATGCCATAGCTTCTTTAACATATACATTTAAAATGACATTTAAAGGACACCAAGTTTTACTAATACGTATCAGAAATGTAATGTAATCAGACTGTCACAACTGCACTGCATCCAGTGCAGACTGGTTCAGACTGCCCATATGTATAGATGTAAGGTTATAAAAGCATCAGTAAAAACAGGTTTACCAACCTCCTCAGGATAGAAGTACTGAAGATGACTGAGGGGGAAGACTGATTCAAATCCATCTCTGAATGAGTCAAACTGTCTGGCAACACCTTCATTTAGTGCCCAGAATATAACCAACTGCAGGGAAGGAAAAAAAAAAAGTCATTTGAACAAAGGAAGCATGGAATGATCACTACTGGACAAAAGACTACAGCTGCAGAAAAACACACTACTGAAGCCAAGCTGTATGCTCGCTGTAGCTGTGGCAGAGTTTGAACTGAGTCACGGAGCTGCTCTACAGCATTGCCTCATTCTGCCTCAATTCATAACCTCGTACTGCTGCATGTGTGCAAGTGCAGTGCTGATGTAATGCAACAGACAGAATTTGTTGGGGTTTTCTTTATAACTTTCTCATGTGATCTGTCAATTGCAAATTAGCAAAAGTCATTCAGAGTTCAAACAACCCATTTGCCTTTACTTTTGATAAAAGAAAGTTAATACATTGAATACAGAACAGCTGGTTAAACTGATCCTATTTAAGAAAACATTTTGAAAGCAAATCTAAATATTTATATATTTTCAGAAGCCTAACCTAGATGTTCTCTCTGTACACTGATATCCCTTTAAAATTCAACAACTGAAACAGAAATCCTTAGGTCAGTACTATATTAGTTTCCCCCATTGAAACATGTGCCTGTTTTCTAATATATAGTTACAAAGTAACTGTAGACTTTTTGTTATACTACGTATCATAATATTATAATACATGGGAAAAAAAAAAAAGTAGTAACTTTGTTACTGGGATTTGGTAAGAATCGTAAGGCAATAAACAGTAAGACAGTAGTCTAGGCTTTTTGTGTGTGCTTTTTGTTTTGTATCTGCAGTTACTTTTCTCAGGATTAAATTCACCTTCCAAAGTGGACAGCACATACTGAAACAATAATCACTGGGGTGAGAGGGAAAGGGACATTACACAAACAAGACCAAGTTTCTTTTAAGTTTCCTGCAGCCAGTATTTCTCTACTAAATTAAAAAAATACATTATACATGGCAGACTGCACACCAAGTTCAGATTCTTCTGTCAGTTAGTGCTACTGACAATTACACTTGCCTTGGCTACCCCCAACTCTAGCAGGAAATGAAGGCTGGTTGTAAAAGATGTCAACACACAGCTACAAGTTTTTAAATGTGTTAAAAGCTCTGACCAGGAATGCTGAGAAAAGCTTTGAAAGACATCTAAGCATGCATCTGAATATGATTAAAAACCTCATTGATACTGCAGGACTCCTGAAGCAAGTATTTAACTCTGTCCCCGTAAGCGTTACTTGTTCCAGAAAGCTCTCAGATATGAAAGCCTATTAGGATGCCTCCCTACAAAAGAGTCAGGCACTGAATTTCAGATAAGATATATACCCGTATTGTCACACGTCAAGTTGTAATACTGAAGAGCGAGCTGGTAAGCACCAGCAGCGCACACAGGAGGCTGCTCTATTGCATTCTATAGCAGAATATTCTATGGCTATTCTAGCAGCAGAGTTGCCGACTTAAGAATTGTGATTACTTTTTATGTCCAGGAGCATGTGGCAAAACTAAGCTGCGCTGTATTCTTTCTTGTGGATTCAAAGAGGAGATTAAGTTGTTATGCAAAAGACTGCACTCCAGAAACTTTTTGTCCACAAGTTTAGAACAAGCAAGTTGACCTCTTTCTTTATTGCACAGGGGAGAAGAGGGGGAACGGGGGGAAGAGAGAATAAAGTGTTTCACTGTACTGTAGCTGAAATAGTGCTACTTTCTGATAAAGGTAGCTCCTGTGGGAACTGTCCCCGGGGCGGGGGGGGAGCTGGAAGGACAAGGACATGACTGCAGGAGAGGCACGAAGAGTAACAGTCGGATATTCTAGCATTATAAACTCCTTTCAATGGTAATCGACACAAAATTTTAATGAAAACGACATTTTCAAGAGCAGGGCAGCTGACCACAGGGAGCTGTACAGGCTAGCTGACAAATTAAATACACTGTTTCTAAATTGCAATTCATCATACTTGTGATACAGAGGACAATAATTTTCTCTCTGAAATCTCTTCCATTTCCTTGGCATCAAGTCTGTAATGCCAATCACTGGTATCTAAAGTCTTCTCTATAAGGCAGGAATATAAAGACAAGGATAGAAAAACTACACAGGTGTCCTTTAAAGAAAGTAGTCCCAAAAGCTGTTTAGAAAGAAGTGGAAAGAGAGCTTTCTGTAGTGATCTGCTTTCCCTTTACAATGCCAGAGGCCTGCGACAGGACAACTACAGGACATCCGAGACGTCTGCAAGCCTTTCTCAGCATATCAGATACCTAATATGTGTTACCTAGAAGAAAAATAAAACTGACTGCAAACTGTACAAAAGTCAGACTCAAAAGCAACTTTGCTCAGCTTTCCTCAGTAAATAGACTGCAAATGCTGTTTCTAACAAACTATGGTTGTTGGCATTGCCCATCTGTAAGTCTGCAAACAGCTTATATCAAATATGTTTAATTTTTTACGTGATTCTTGACTAGCAGAATTTGCTTTCAACAAATAAAGATATGAGAACTAGATATGTGCTTAACAGCTTGAATCTGGAAGACGAACAGCAACTGCTCAATATTCAGTTGTAAGGACTGGGGAATAACTTCGCAAAGTTCTCAGTTGCTATCCCAGGAGCTTCTATGTCCCTTACTGTATCATTTCTACCAAAACATCAGATATGCTCCTTATCAGAGCTTGAAAATATTAAGAGTCCTCAGAGTGAAATTGGCAGCAGACTAACCTGTCAGAAAATGCATTATTTAAGGATTGGAATAATGGCTCTTTCGTGATACAATCAATCATTCTTACCTTCATCCGACTCATAACTTCATAGGATAATATTGCATTTTTCCTGCCTTTCCTCATCTCTTTTCCAGGCTGTTTTTAACCTATTCCATTCAACACTTTCTTATGCAGAAAGTTTCCTACCTTTGCTCAGCAGTATGACCCTTTTGTTTTTCTAGGTTCTATGTCCCCTCTGACATAGCAATAAATTAATACACAGGTGTACTGTCAACTTATTACAGCACTGTTTTGTTGTCTGTTCCTTACCTATTTTTTTTATGGTTTGTGTTTTGTTTCTTTGGGGCTTTTGTGTTGGTTTTTTTGTTTTGTTTTGGTTTTTTTGTTTGTTTGGTTCTTTTAAAGAAACACTACTCTTCTAATTTTGACTTGCAACCAAGCTGATGTTTTCCTAAGTCTGATTCCAAAAAATGACACTGTTGTTATAGCAGTTCAAAGCCCACTGAAGTGTGGGTAGCAGGTGCTAAATCACTATTGCGAACAAATTCGTTACCATATGCAGATGTGGGAACTTGTTAAAAGATTCTGAAAGTCCACAGTTCAAACTTTTGACTCACTACAACACTTTTTATCCAAAAAACATACTTCTGATGACTTCATTATGTATAAACCAGATTTTTTTGTACTGTAAAATTTTCGAGTCAGGTGCACTGACTAGCATTCAAAACAGTGTTTCTGTAGTAACAAACTGGTACAGAAGAGAAGCAATCAGTAGGAAAATTATTGCTGTGCCCAGTTCATGAGAATGAACTGAAATAGATACATGGAAACAAACTACTTGAGAGGAAGGCAAGGAAGAATAAAGAAAATTTTAGCCCTAGCTTTGCTTTTACGTACTCTGAGATACTCCTCTAAATTGTGGATGGTGACTGGTGTATCTTTCCCCCCTTTTTTCAGTTCTATATTAGGAAACCCAGGAAGTGTGAAGTCCAGTCCTAAATCTTCCACTGAGCAGCCATTCATAGTCAGAGCCTCCAATGCATACTGTAGACTTTCTTTGGTCTAAAAAATTGGAAGTGAAAACCAGTGAGAACAATTCATTCACATTAATTTATTCAAAAGTTTATCTAAAGTAGTTTTGACTAAATAAACATTTCTGTAAGAATATTACTATTAATACTGTTACAGTGCTCCTTATTTTCCTTCCATATTTTTCATACATAACAGTAAAGCAAGACAAAGCAAATAAACCACCTTAATGAATACACTTGAAAGATCATTACAGTACACTTTTTCCTGTCAATTTTGGAATTACTTTAACTTTTTGTATATTATTTATTTAGAAAATACTACTGCAAGAGAAGGAGATGTGTAATATGCTAAAGCTCTTAGGTTACGTTTTGTCCTTAGAATACTTAATGGCATTCATATTCGGCATGCATACTGACATTTTTCAGCTTTCATCCACCAGGTTTCAGGTTTTTCAAACTCTTGTTGGAAATTAAAAGCGGTGATCAAGGAGAGAGAGTGAGACAGTGAGGTGAAGAGGAACAAAGGCCCACAAGCTTGCAATAACTTCACTAGTAACAAAGCAGATGTATTAAGAGTATAAATTAGGTTATTACCACCTACCATCTATTAACAATGGGTGCTAGAAAGAGCATACATGCCAAAGACTTCTTATCACTACTCTGCAACAGTGAATGGTACTATTTTCAGCTAAGAGTGGATAACCTTGAAAAAATTAAGACTCTTCCATATCTATAATAGAACCTGTACACTCACAGATGGAGCCAGTTTGACTAAATTTGACTAAACCAACTAGGAAGAAAGCCAAGCCTTCTGAATGTTTAAAAATCAAGGACAGATTTTTTTTTTTCCTCTGATAAAGTTGGCTAGTCTTTTCAAAGTGTAACAAAAAAGGTTACCCGAGGCAAACATCTGGCAGTTTTAGCCATTTCTAGCCTATGTTTAATCACACAGAAGAATCTCATAATAAATTTCAAATGTTAGAGTCTATATTACAAGAAGACCGTGTTATAATTACTAGCCACTGATTTAATAACATTAAAACTACTCCTTTTATTAGAATGAAGTCATTATCACTATCACCATCAGTATTAAGCACTATCATACACTCTCAATTACAGCCTCTTCATAAAATCCAAACATATGTGAAAATGCACTCTTCCATTCTTAGGGTTACTTTCCCACCTGTGTTTTGTCCTGTTCAAGTCTTTTCTTTTGTCTTACAATATCTTCAAGGTGATATATTGATTTGGCTACTACTGGATCAATACTGAACAAGTCATGTGATGTCAAGGAAGTTTCCTGTCGTAGCATCCATTTATAAAAAGGAAGTCCAAGAGGAAGGTCCACCTGGAAATAGAAATGTTGTTTAGTATTGAACTGTCTTCCAAAACTATATCTTCTGCTATTTTATCTCTTGACTAGATCTAGAATACTAGTTACTAATTCATAGTTCTGGGGTACACCAAAATACCATGTCTGAGTGGTTTTACCTGAGAAATTTACAATCAAGAAAACACAACTGACTGCTCTAATGTGTACGCACCAGGTAATCAGCAAGTTAGCAGCTGGAATAGTAAGAAGCCCAAAATGATCTTGAAAGAAGATCGGACAGAGACTGCAACATATGGCAGACAACGGCTCAAAAGCCACCATAACAGATCTTCAACATATACTTCCCTTTCCCCCTCAAAAGCTCAGCTGCATCCCTCTTCCCCTTACCCAAACTGCCAGAGCTGAAAATAATTCCATGCAACTCAATGCTATTTTTTCCCCATTGCAGTCAGAACTAAAGTTTTCATCAACCCTTGAGAATCACATTTTCCATTTTATTCTCACCAGTCTAAAATCCATGATTGCCTTGGCCATTAGTTTTCCCAGAAAGCGGAACTTCATTTTAACTTTTGCAATGTGAGCTGGCTTGGCTGTTCTACCAAAAGGAAGTGCAAAAAGGCCTTGAAGGTTATGGATGTATTTGGTACCTTCCTGGCTTCCTGTTGAGAAAGAAGGAAAAAAAAAATTCAGTACATACACTGCTAGTTTCATTCCAGATGCAAGTTTGAAAGCAGCTATCAGATAACCATAACGTAAAGCTTCTTATAAAATTAAAAAAAAACCCCAACCATAAAGATAATCACACGCTATCATGAGGCATATTATCTGACCACAGACTGAGCTACTCTTTCAACCAAAGCCAGTCATGTAATTAAAGTAAACTTAGAATCAATTCGGTATTAGATCAATATTCATATTTTAGGTAGAAAAACGTTTACCTTTTGGATTGGCTAAAGTCACTTCTTCTCCCCTCCAAAGGCCCAAGTCTGCTCTCTGTAGTTCCTGAGATACAAGTGCATAGAACTCTAGTGTGGGGCCTAGGCCTGTGCCAACCTTCAGGAGGAGGGAGGGTGCAGGGAGAGGAGGGGGAATGAGATAAATAAATGAGTCCATTAGGTCAGTTTGAATATCAAAATCTTTACTTAATCTGAGAAATATAGTACATTATTTGCTATAAAGAAGACTGCATTGCAAAAAGTGTTCCAGATATGCCAACTTTCACCACACAACTGAGACAGCTTGGAAAGACCACATATCAGAGGGAATAATAGTGGAATAAAAGTATTAACCACCTAGTGACCATATTACAAAGGAAAGGCACAAAGCTGTTTGCTTAGAGTTAGGAAAAAATCTGCTCTGCAGAATAAGACTAATTATGAAATTTGGGTGGTCAGAAAGAGTTTCTCGTAGCAACTAAAAATCACAACCAAGTGGATTAGGGATAATTAATAGATACAATTTTGTGACACCAGCAATGGGAAGAACCAAGAGTCTGACCAAGTCATTCTAGGAAAGTTGTAGCTTTTTTGTACTAATCTTCAGTAAAAAGGGGTTAAATTAGACTGCATGGATATTACTTACTTCATTCTCATACTGGATTTCCAACATGGCTCTTGAACTGCCTAGATCCTGCATCACAGATTCTGCCTGTTTCAACAGCTCATCTCTGTTCACAGTGCGCTACACATTAGAGAAGTTTTAAGTAGTGAAATTATGTCTGTAAGTCCCAGCTCCCAAGGCAGTTACAACAGGAAAAAAAAATCAGTTATGCAAGTTTTTCCACCCCATGCTAATATTTCCACAGTTCAACAATGTGTAAGCTTACACTTTGATAAAATAATTCTCGCTTCTATATGAAAACTGACTAGAATTAAAGTGTTTGGTATAAAATGAAAAAACAACACCTCACATTTTTCAGTGTAATCTGTACTACTCTTGCCAACAATCTGGCAGCAGGACTAGAACACAGTAGAAAAGCATTGTCTTGTGACGTTACATACTTCAAACTAATACATGGAGAAAAAAACAGACTAAAGATGCCAAAATCCAGCAACCTAAAGGAATAATCTTACACCTTGCCCTTGTGGATTCTCTAGTAGGGAAAAAAGGAAAGTGGCAGGTTTCAGAAAACAAAACAAGCACCCAACCAAATAATAACCACCCAAAACCACACCACACAACAAAAAAAACCCACCAAACAAAAAAACCCAATCAACAGCACTGGGATTCCTACATGTTGGAAGCTATTTTTTCCCCCAGATGTATTCAAGACCATATAGCGGATCAGAACTTAGTTTAAGATAACAGACTCAAGGCAAACACCCAAGACTCCCTCAGTTTAAAACAGTCACAGTTCAGTTTTATTACATTGTGACAGGAGGTTTAATACTGTCCCAGAATGCAAGAACAACGTTTTTGTTTATTCAGGTGACACTTAAGGGTCTAAATCCTATCCCTTAAATTCTTTATGAAATTCTACATAAAGAAAAACAGATGTTTACAAGCTAATATATGGAAGCATCACTAATGTAATCTAAATCTTAAAGTTCATTCTCAGAGCATAGTTTCAGAAATTACGTAAAGACTCCAATGCCAAACGAAGCAGGATGTGAGAATGCAGAGTAGCATACTCCAGCCCCTTCTGCCATCTAGCGGCACACACCCAGAAGACGCCGTGCTTTCCACTCGGGGAAAGCTTTTAAATGAACAGAAACAAACCTCCCCTTCATGCCTATGCTACCAAAATGTGGAGTTTTACAAATAAAATTGATCACGATATTTTTAAAGACAACATAAAAATAAAGAAATCATTCATTCCATTTCTAAACAAGATATACCTACTTTTTTCCTGTCCAGTCGCGGTGCCACTCTGCTATCCTGAGAATCTGATTGATTGATTTCTGGATTAGTATCCAGCAGTCTTTGCATGGCTCGATCACGATCAAAAGCAGTTACATAAAACAGCATTTGACGGGTATCAAATGGAAAGAAAAATGGGCTGTAAAGAGCATTGGATTAGTTAGCTGGGTTCCAACTAGCATCTATGACTATAGTTTAGTTTAAAACACAATAGAAATGTAGTATGCCTGAAATTAGTGCTTTATTAAACACTGTGGTGAAAGGAGCCTTCAAAGGAAGCCTTCCAGAACACACTTTAGCTTTAGTTACAATGCTCATGAGCAAGAGTCTAGAGGTGAAAATAACATGACAAGGGACCACAAAAAATTCCAGAAGCTTTTAACTCTTCCAGAAAAATAACTCAAACTACTCAAATGCCTTGGCTATGCAAAGTTTAAATAAGAAAACATATATTCTGTTACTTGTTCACACTTGCTTTAAAATTAGTAAATCTAACTTAGATGAGATATTTTAAGAAGGTCATTCAAGCTTCCATATTGGGGGGG